TTGCTTCGTTTCATTCATTTGACGTATGAATTTTTCTGTCCAAATCTTATACGTCAATTTTATGCAAATCTTCGTACCACTAAGGGAGGTTCGCCATCTCTCATTTCCTATGTTGACGGCAAAACCATTTTCATTGACGGTGCCGGTTTGACTTCTTTGTTTGGCCTTCGTCGCGGTGAAATTACCGAAAACTTGGATGAAACATTCCAAGATGAGGCAATATGGCGACAACTCGGGTTAGATCATCGTGACCTCAAGTTTAGAAACTCTAGCAACCCGAGTGTCATTAATCTCACTTTAATTCAACGCGTCCAACAATACATTTTCTCATATGTTTTGTTGCCCCGTGATTCGAACCATGGCGTCGTCAACAAGGACGATATTCGTTTGTTTTACGTCTTGTTGAATGATGTCAAATTTGATTGGGTTCACTTCTTTATCGTTGCACTTAGCGATGGCACTCGCTTTTCCCATCTCCGTTTTGCCATCCCCATTATGCATATCCTTGCTCATTGCAAAATAGACCTTACTCGGGACACTCAGGTGCCGGTCAAGAAGACGTGTTTCATCACTGAAGCCAAGTTTTCCCGGATCGTGTATCGAGAGGAGGGCGATGCTGCACCAAATCTGGACTTGATCGTCGCCGAAGAAGAAGAAGAAAGCCAAAACGAGAATCAAGCTGAGTCATCTCAAGCCGGAGGTAGTCGAGCCACGGAGCGCGTCACTCGTCAACGGAGGACTCGTCCGAGAGAAGAAGCACCAAAACCATCTTGGGTGAAGAAGATCTTCGATACTCTCATGTGCATCCGAGATGACGTTCGCCAGCTCAACGAGAGGATGACTCGTCTTGAGCAATCTCGCTCCTACCGTGGCCCGCGTCACAGCTTTAGCGGAGGAGCTCGTCCGGCGAACTCTCTTTGATTATTTTCTCTTCTATCTTAACTTTTTATGATACATTGTTCTTTGCTATTGTTGTTATAACTCTTTTGGTGAATGATGTTATTGCTAATATGGTTCTCTTTTAGAACATATTGTCCCTTTGTCGCAATTCATGTTAGAAGTTCTTTTGAAAACTCTTACAAATTTTTTATCCTTCTAAATCCCGGCATCAATTAAGGGGGAAGGTTGTCGGTTGATAATGCCAAAAGGGGGAAGGAAGGATCGTTGAGAAAACTTGTTTTTCAAAATTGTTTTTCCGCTTATTACTCCGATTATTTTACTGCACTTCTCTAACCTTGCAGGGGGAATCAATTAAGGGAAGTATTTTTTTTAACTCTTTCTTTGCTTTTTCTCAACTATGTTTGTCATTATCAAAAAGGGGGAAATTGTTGGACATGAGTTCAAACCTCCTTCGCATTTTTTTTTGGATTATTTTTTGTTTTGATGAATGACAAACAGGATGATTAAATTCAATCAATATTTGAAAATTTATTCGGATCGAGAAAAGCAAAGAAGGGCATCAAGAAGTTTCGTCGATAATTCACGCTCACCCCTACGCAGTTTTTTGAAGTGAAGCGAAGACTCCGAAGACTTTTTATTTTTATTGAGTCTAGGAA